TAGGGTTTAAGGTTTAGGTCTAAGGGTGTAAGGTCTTTTGTTCAACTTCAAAACCCTGCTTGGAAGGTCAGGGGGACATACTAAGTAGTCGAATAAGGCCTCGGATCCATCTGATTTTCGGGTTAGAGTTTAGAGTTTAGGGCTCATTTCCCATAATATAGTTCATGAACATGGCTTCCTTATTAAGGACTATACTAAAGTATCACAAAGGCCAAGGGTCCATCCTTTTTGGTCCTTTGGCAACTGTAAACCCTAAAACCCTCAAAACCTAAAACCCTAAAACCCTGAACCCTGAACCCAAAACCCTTAGAACCTTAAAATGGTTTAGGGTTTAGGGTTTACCATAAACCCTAAACCCTAAACCCTGAACCGTATACTGGCTTGCAAGATATTCATTGGCTGAGACACTGCGAGCTAGGACTCGATCCAGATGGGGCGGCGGAGGGGCTGATCCGGCGGGAGCCGACGCGCACAGGCTCCTAGTTTACTTACTTGGAGGAATGGGATGGAAAATGGGATCTCCGGTTTTGTTAGGGGTTGAAGATTTACAGTAGGGTTTAGGGTCAATGGGATGGAAAATGGGATCTCCGGTTTTGTTAGGGGTTGAAGATTTACAGTAGGGTTTAGGGTCAGCGGGACTTAATAATTAGGTTAGTAATGGGGATAGCTAAGGTTCCTATGTAGATTACAGGGGTTACTAACCTGCTAAGTCCCCTAGCACTGGCATGCTTCAACCCTTCTTGAAAATATAGCGTGATGTTAGGGTATACAGGGATTTCTAGCATGTTTGAGGGGTTCGTTTTGGGAGTCCCAGACTTAAGGTTTGGGGTATAGGGATTATATTGGGGTTCTACATTCGAGTGCCCAATTTTTGGAAACTCCCATGTCCAGGTGGGAACGAAAAACAAACCCGAACTTCGTAAAGCCTCTCCACCCTCTGATAAGGAATACCGCACAGAAAGTGCCATCATATGAGCTATAGGGTTTAGGGTTTAGGGTTTAGGGTTTAGGGTTAAACTCCTAGTATCCCCATTAATAACCCCTATAGTAGTCCACTATATAATCCCCTTTGTAACCCCCTTTAAGGAGTTTAGATTATGGCTCATATAATGGGGGAATGATTATTAGGAGATTACAGGGAGTGGAAGGCTGCTCAATCATGCTCAAAAGGGAAATAAGTTAGGTGGACCCCCTACCCAGTAATAGTGACTATAAGGGATAATAAGGATCATAGTAGCGTCCTATTATGTTCCTATTTTACCAGTATTACAGGATGGGGAGTCCTCCTAAAAAAGGCACAGATCTATGTTGCGCGCGAGCTGTTTAAGGTAAAGAGAATCCTGCATTCATAACCCAAATGCCGGCTCCAATTTTGTTGGGGGGATCCAGGTCCCTGTGAAGGGTCCCCGTCCCCACCTTTTAGACAGTGTTCCTGGGGGCAGTACCCAATACATTGGGGTCTACATTGGGGTCCCTGTTTTACGGAAGCCACCACATTGCAAACCCTGCTAGGGTTTAGGGTTTAGGGTTTGCATGTTCCTTAAGTCAAGCCGCAGCGAGCTGCTCCAAACCCTCACGCCTAAGCCCCCAATTCGACACTCCAGGCCCTCAACCCCAAACCCCTGACCTCAAGACCCTACTTCCCCCAACTTCAAAACCCTAAACCGCTAACATCAAAACCCTAAAGCCCCCAAACCTCAAAACCTTAAAGCCCCAGAATACCAAGGCTCCGGGACGGCTACCTTAAATCCCTACAACGCTACCCCTAAATTTTGGGAAACCCTACATGCCCTACATAGGCTTTCAGGGTTTTAGGATTTTAGGCTTCAGAGCTTGGAGTGTTGGGGGCTCCCTAAACCCTCAACCCTAAACCCTAAAACCTGAAACCCTAAACCCTAAACACCCTAAACCCCAAACACCCTAAACACCGTAAACCCTCAACCGCTCCTGGATGGGCACCGGAAGTCCCAACCATCCTTGCATGACGCCCTCGGGGAAGCGCTGTTGCCACCCCCGAGCTGCGCGTAGGTAGCCTTCCCTGCACACCACCTGCTTAGGGTTTAGGGTTTAAGTTTTAGGGTTAAGGTTTAGGGTTGAAGGGTTGGGGTTTAAGGTTTAGAGTTTAATGTTTAGGGTTTAGGGTTATGGTGTAGGGTTTAAGGGTTAGGGTTTAAGGTTTAGGGTTTAGGGTTTATGGTGTAGGGTTTAAGGGTTAGGGTTTAAGGTTTAGGGTTTAGGGTTTATGGTGTAGGGTTTAAGGGTTAGGGTTTAAGGTTTAGGGTTTAGGGTTTAAGGTTTAGGGTTTAGGGTTTAAGGGTTAGG